TAATAAGCTCCACGGTGTGGGGGGATTCCAATCAAATAAAATTCTGAATCCGCCTATTCCTTTTTTTTCAAACTAAAACAAAATTCATTTTCAGAGGTATCTTAATCATTTACGTAAGTTATTACTCCCTCCGTCCCATTTTATGTGGCAACATTTGACCGGGCACGGAGTTTAAGAAATAAATGAAGACTTTGAAATGTTTACCAAATTGCCCTTTCAAAAAATAGTCATATTAAAAAGTAGACTCACTTTTCTTTCTCCTCATAAATGTATTGGAGTACTGTCTTTAAGATTAAGTGGAATCAACAAGGGTAAAAGAGGAATTGTACCTTTAAATATTTACCATATAAGGAAATGTGACATTCTTTTTGGGACTGACCAAAAAAGAAATGGTGCCACATAAAATGGGACGGAGAAAGTACTATGTACTGAAAACTCGTGGCTTTAATTGCAAGATTAATAACTAGAACTATTATAAACCAATGTGAATTAATTGAAGAGTATGATATTATTTTACCAATACTTGTGTGTTAAGACGTGACACCCTAACAATGCTTCTACAAGCCAGGTTATCTTTGAAGTCATTCTTCCTTTTGTAATTTGTACCAACTCTACCCTCCAAAAATTATAGGTACTACCTTCCATTTTTTAAATCACTCAAGGTGCGTTTCGCACGAAGGTTTTCCAATTATTTCATGTTCGAGTAATCAAAATTTCTGGAAAAAATATTTTCTCTAGGAAATTAAGTTTCTTAAAAATACAAATGCCTTTTCCGACAAGATCATTTTAACATGCATCAATTTGACTACTTATTTACCCTGATTTTTAGTTGAATCGAATTGAACATATCAAAATGTGGTATACTACATAATTAGACATACATCTGTATATCGAGCACATGGTTTCGACTTCGTCTCCATGCTTAATTTACGTATGTAGAAAAAACGTAGCCATATTGTGCATGTTCACATTCATAAATTGACAAATGCAATTACGTATGATATGTTTCCCTTCATCACTAGTTATTTAATTTAGGGCATGTATACGGAGCATGAATGTAACTTTAAGTCCCACAAGTCATTAATTACATAGACCCCATCACATGGCTCATAATAACTAATATGAAGCAAAGACAAATCTAAATTTTTAATTCTACGAATTTAAGATTTCGAGTTTTACCACGAAATTCATCATCTTATTTAATAATTCTTCATGGACAATTAAAGAAGAAACATACTCCCTCCGTCCCTTTTTAGTTGTCCACTTTAGAAATGACACACAGATTAAGGCAACAATGATTAGCACAGTGAAGTTACAATTTTATCCTTATGACAACTTTTCACTTCAAAATTACAACCACTTATTTGAATTCAAGTGAAATAAATTGGAGAGAAACAACATACACTTTTACAAATTTCAAGAAGTGTAAATAAGGGTATAATAGGAAAAAATTTGTTGTCCTTTCTTGATTTGTCAAAATGGACAACTAAATAGGGACAACTAAAAAAGGAAATATGGACAAGTAAATAGGGACGGAGGGAGTTGTATATAATTTGATAGGGGAGGAATATTTAAATCTCTACATTATAATTCACACGTTATTATTTTCTACTATACTACAAATTTCTACCTGAATTATTTTTAAACCAAAATATCTTGTTGCATAAATTTCAATTTGCTGTAAGTTTGTAATCATTTTTGCAGAGTCTGCACTCTCTGACACTCTCTTTATGCTTTTTTGGGTCTTTTCGAAAGAAAAGTAGAGCTAATAAAATACTAGAGAAAGAAAAACGCGCTTAAATATGAGTTGTGGTATCAAGTACAAAACAGTTAAGCATATGATACAACACCTTTAGCTCATTAGATGACCCTTTCTCTCCAACCCTAATCTCTATTTTACTCTTCAAATATAGAGTTCTTTATTTTTTCAAATAGTCAACTCTAACCCAATTCTCTATTTTACTCTCTAAGAAAGAATTTTTTTTTTTCTCCTTAATATTATATTATTATTTCTATTCATTATTATTTTCTTATTTCATGATACACATCCTTTATTTCCTTTTTTCCAAATAATCACTTTATTTAATATTCATGTAATATAAAAATTTATTTTTTTCATATTCATTACTTAATATAAAAATTTATTTTTTTCAAATTCATTACTTAATATAAAATTATATTTTTCCTAAATTCATAAATAACATAAATTGCAAGTTAATATTATATAATATACAAATTAATGGACAATTCAAATAAAAGTGAAATTATTAGTGAAATATAATTACATAAATACTCTACTTTCAAGATTATTACATTGCTCTCATAAATGCTCTATTAATGCATTACGGAGTTTAAAATGAACATTTTTGTCCTTAATCATTTTATGTCTAGCAAAAGATTGTTCAAATTAGAGATTTTCATTCAACAAGAACAACTACGAATAATTGAAAAAAGAAATCAACAAGCACAACCGCAATCACAACTACACTAATTATGTAGATCATACACTATTTTTTTCCGAATATTGTTAAATCTAAAAAATGACCTACCGGATTACTAAATTATCGTTGTGATAAAAATTTTATGTTATGTATTGTTATCTTGTATTTAAATTATATGTCATATATTGTTTTTTAAATTAAAATTTTCATCTTATCATTTTAATTTTGTGCATTCTTCATAGTGAAAATAATAATGATATCAATCTATATTAAAGTGACGAAAATTAAAAAAAATTGAAACATTATTAATTCGGGATGAAAGTAGTATATATTAAATAATATATTTTTTAAAAATGTTATATTACATTTAAAATGAATTACTAATATTAGAGATATAATTAATGGTCTATATGAAAAATAATATGTTAACTACAAAATAATAGAAAATAATAATAAAATAATTAAAAAGTGAAATAGAGAAGTGAATAGTAGTTCTCCAAATTTGGAGTACTACTCTTCACCTCTCCATAAATGGAGAATAGAGAGTAATTTAGAGGGTGGTTGGAGAGCCCTTTCTCTATTTTACTCTCCAAATATAGAGAATGGAGAGTAAAATAGAGTGGGGTTGGAGATGGTCTCACATAACATGATTGAAGATTGGGGACACCAACAAACTGGATAATTCTTATAAGTGCTGGAAATAATTGAAAGTAACTAATTTTGGGTATGTGACATGACCAGCCCATGTGCATAAAAAGACAGTAATGGCCTCCTACTTTTGAGTAGTGGAAATTGTCACTCATATACACAAGTAAAGTTCCAATGACAATAACCTTTGCCTAGGTATGTATGACTCTCAAATGATGAAATATATGGATAAGATATCTTTCAATTAGATTTATTGGAGCTATTGAGTTATTGGTTATACATTTATGATGGTGTCCTGACTATCTCTCGATTGTTTCACTTAATATGTGTTACATTCCACCAGCGTCGTTATCAAGTAACTAGGACTTTTGTTTTATGATTTAAAGAAATTTGTCTAGAGTCAAGGCCAGCCTCAAAACGAACATTTTTTGAACACTACATATCAAAAGGAATCCTCTCAAAATCACAAACCAAAAGAGGATCCCTTTTGATATATAGTGTTCAAAAAACTAGCACAAACCTTTGGGCTAATTGTGCAGCCTTTTGAAACTTGGAATGATGGGCTTTTTAAATGAAATTTGGACCAATCGTAGTCTTTCAAAATCTGTTCATGGAGTCAAACTTTTGGGTCAATTGCAACCTTCAAATTTATGGAGCCAAACCTTTGAGTCAATCGTAACCATCTTCGTTTAAATACTGAACTTAACTTGCAAGATGTTGGATTTGAATTTGTGACCTAAAATTCAAGTCCCTCAACTTTTTGTCAATTGAGTGAAGTCCTGGATTGGCACTAGGAAATCACACTGTGCATATATGATATGATTTTGCATTTTCCTACACATATCTATATAAAGTAGATGATATTCCAACTCTCCTATGTTTGGGGTCCAACTCCACTAATATTGGTCTCAATTCTCAAATAAAAAGATGAACAGCACCTTGAAAATAGCACACGCTAAGAAAAAGCAAAAGATCGAAGTAGACATATCATAATATTTGCTCTGCCTTCCATATGCATTGTGATTGTCATACATATGAGCTTAAACGGGCATTACCAAACAACGTATAGATGGATCTAGAATTTTAATTTGATGAATTCAAACTTTAAGTTGTTACAGTTGAACCTATTAGTTTTTCTAAACTATGCGGTCAGATTATTCCATCTAATATTTGTTAAGTTTTAGTAATGTTAATATATATGTAAAATATCAGGTTCATGTGAACTCAATACTCATTTTTTATATAACTTTATAAGTCATTAAATTCATTGTAACAATGAAAAGTCTCAATTTTACTATGCATCATCCGCCCGCCAATGTTTACCAGTACATGATAGCAAATTCCTGGCATTAATTTTTCTTCCTTGTTGAAAATTGATAGAAAAGTCTCTTTCACTTGGATTATCTTTTACATACAATAATGTCCTGCCTAAATCTATTAATATTAGAGATGAAAATTAAGCTTCTCAATGAACGAGGAATACTTATCTCTCGTTTGGTAAAACAGATAAGAGATAATTAATTTTAGAATAATTTATTCATATTTGGTTGAAATAAAATCATCGAACCACTTATCCTCAAAATAATTATTTCGACATTATAATGCTATTTTTATACTACATCGAGGATTCAATAACTAATCTAAAATAATTAGTTTCAAAAATAACTTATTCCTCAACTAAACAAGGTCTTAAATTGTACTACTAAAATTCTAGAAGAGACTCTTCTTGGCAGCAATGTCAATGTCTAAACCCCATAACAGCCAATATTGAAAAGAACAATATAGAAAAGATAAAATTAAAACCATAGACTAAATAAAAAATTATACAACTTATTATTCAATAGACTAATAAGCTATAGCCCATAGTTTATAATGAACCAAAAAATCTCACATTAATTCAAAAAAAAAAACATGAATTTAGCATCAACAACAATACAAAGAATCAACTATTTGTTATCAGAACAACCATCAATTACATCATTTCAATGGAGTCCAATTATATTAGGGTCAACATGGTCATTTCTCATTTTATCTATTTCCGCTTTTATCCTCACCTCCACCACCCTCCACCTCTTCCTCCTCCTTATACGGCGGCGCCGCCCTATCCCTCTCGGACCTATCCCCGCCCTCCATAGCCTTTCCATGTCGTTAATCTCCGCCACTATTTTCCTCGGAATGTTATCCTCCGCTGTCGCGGAGATCCGCGACACGCGGTGGATATGGCGGCGTTCGAAAACGCCGCTCCAATGGCTACTCTGTTTCCCGATCGGCACGCGCCCTTCCGGGCGCGTGTTCTTCTGGTCTTATACTTTTTATCTCTCTCGTTTCCTTCATATTTTTCGCACATTCTTCACTATAATACGGCGTCGTAATTTATCGTTTTTTCAAATTTTCAATCACTCGATTCTCATTTGTATGTCGTTTTTATGGCTTGAATTTTCACAGTCTTTTCAAGTTATAGCGATTTTACTTATGACTTTAGTTTTCGCTTTGGTCTATGGGTATCGATTTTGGACGGAAATCGGGCTCAGAAGAGCCCGATTTCCGTTCGTGATGAATTGTCATTTGGTGTTTTTGGGGTGTAATTTGGCTTGTCATGTTGGAGTTCTTTTGTTGCATTTTTATAAAGGTGGATGTAATGGAATGGGAGCTTGGTTTTTTAATTCAATGCTTAATGAATTTTTGCTTTTAGTGTTTTTGAGATCATATGTTAAAACATACTATTTGATTAGAAGAAATTACTTTAGTGTTGTTGATTCATCAATTTCTGAAGTTGAAGATTTTGTAATAACTTCACGGACAAGTAAAAAGGATTTGTGAGTACGAAGGAAATGTGAGGATATTATTGAACCTGATCAGCTCAATATGATTCATCCTTGAAAAATAATATGATGCCGTGAATGATGTTGTTTTCTCAAATGGTTTTATGTGGTGCGAATTCAACCGTTGGTGGATGCGTTGGGATGCACAATCTTTTGTTTTGTTATGTACATTTTGTTTTTCATTTCTTCTATGGTTTTTGGTGCTCTAGCAAGTTGTGTATAATTAAAAGATATTTTATTTATTTTAATTTGATTATTTTATTTTAATTTGGTATGAAATTTAAGAAAAAAATTGAAAGTGATATATTAATACTCCATCCGTTTTATAAAGACTGACCCGGTTTGACTTGACACGAAGTTTTAGAAAAATAAAGAAAACTTTTGAATCTTGTGGTCCTAAATTAAAGTTATGTCAAATATATTAAATTGCCTTTCAATCTTGTGGCTTTAAACATGTCACGTAAAAAATTGAAATTAAAATTGTTATCAAAAAAGGAAAGAGATCATTCTTTTTGAAACAGACTAAAAAGAAAAGAAGGTCATTCTTTTTTAAACGGAGGAAGTATATAGCAATAAATAAGCGATGAATTTGCATAAGAGATTTCGAGAATATTTATATAGTGTGCCATGATCAATAGAATACAAACATTATTATTCTATGAATTTGCATAAGAGATTTCGAGAATATTTATATAGTGTGCCATGATCAATATAATACAAACATTATTATTCTATGCGTTTCTGTTTACATGTCATCTTTATTAAAATAGATGTTCCTTAATATTTTTGTCTTTCATAAAATCAATGCATAAATGAAATTATTCTTCTTAATTTATTTTTGAGAGTTAACAGTCTTGAAAGTATAAATTTGATCAAAATAAGAAAACTAAGTAATTTGTTCATATTCATTGATCATTTATTGAAACTTGATTTCAATAGAACATGAAATAAGAATACAATGGTAATTAAAGCCGACACGTGTTTTTATTAGTGTGAACACTATTGAGTTGAATTCTTCTTAATTGCCATATATAGCTGCCGGCGTGACAATGTATAATACTCCCTCCGTCCACAATTGTTTGTCAATTATACTAAAAATAGATGTCCAAAATTAATTGTCAATTTAAACAACCAAGAAATAATTAGTCACTTTTTTCCAATTTTGCCCTTAATGATTGTGTAGTTCAATTGAAAAGTTATGTGGACTTTTGGTATTCTTGATATAGTAGGGTTATATTAGTCAAATTACACCTTGTATTAAATTTTCCTTGAGGGATGTGCATGACCTTACCCTGACAAACAATTGTGGATGGAGGGAGTATAATGAGAATTCATGAAATTAGGGTGATTTAAAAGGGTCATTTAAAAAAATAAAATTGTATGTGAACATAAAATAGGTTTAATTTGATCCTTGAGAGTTAGCCGTCTTGAAAATATAAATTTGATCAAAACAAGAAAATTAAATAATTTGTTCATATTCAAGCATTTTAACTGTCTTGATAATTAACATTAAACAAGAAATATTATCCATAATTGTATTAGATGGAATAATATTTTCTGTTTATTTATTAAATAACAATAAATAAATAAATCACTTACTTTTTGGGACCTACTAAACACACCTCTATAAGGACAAAAATCTTAACATATCTAGAGTATAATTCATTTTTTCAAGTTATTTTTGGATGAAGTTTCACCATGCGTTTGATCATAGGTTTAATAGAAATATTTGATGTAAAAAAAAAATGATTTATACCCATAAATTTTAATAATTATTAAAAGTACTCATAAGTTTGTATTATCATTTTATAATGAAAATGTTCCATAAAAAACCATAAAACAAACATTATTAATATGAATTTGAAAAAAAAAAGAGAGGAAGAAAACAAAAGGTAAATACCATTAATTTGTATTATATTACTTGTAATTGGAAGGAACTTTGAAGAGCAAACTCGGATAAAAACGATATAAAATATGTATATAATGATATAAATTTTGTACAACAAACTATGAATAAAATTTAGTTCAAAACTTTAAATTTTTATAAAAATTTGGGGTAATTTTTAAAAATTCCCAAATACTAAAAATTGGCCCAAATTCTAATTATTATTTTTTCTAAAACTCGAAATATTTACCACTAATTCCCAAGTTTTTTTCCTGAATATATTTGTAGTCAAATGGGTCCTATATTATAGTACCAAATCATAAATTGAGTATGCTTAAAGAAGAATATTCCAGGTAGGATTGTTGTTTATAATGATAGGATAAACGTGAGAATAATACGGATCTTGCCAACCACCATCCCACTGTTTGGTCGTCTTCCCACCCTTAACAACTCGATTATTCCGCGGGATACACGTCACCTCTCTTCTGTTCTATTTTTTCTTCTAAATCGGAAATTTTATGCTGAATAAGTCTTCTCTTACTGTTTTATTGCCTTCATCTCAACAATTATCCTTTCATTACACCCTCTCCAATTCTGAATTGATTCAATTTTAGGTATGCAATTTATTTTTTTCATATATGTTTTTGAATCTTCATATATATGTGCAAAGATCTGTTCTGTTTTTGTGTTTTTGCCCAATTACTGAAAATTGTATGATAAACAACATACCTGGTGTAATCTCATGAGTGGAGTCTCGGGAGGATAGAGTATATGCAAATTTTAATTCCTAAAGAAAAGAAAAGAATTTTCATGTTAGATATAGGAGTAATAATTAAGTAAATTATACTCTGTTGTGCCCTAGAAAATGGATTTATGTTGTCAATGGAAGGAAACAAATTAAATTGAGTTTATAAAGGGGAATTACATTGTTTTTGAATCTTAGAGCAATAGTAAAGTTGTCTTCATATGATCTATTATAGGTCAGGGTTCGAGCTATGGAAACAACCACTAACTAACCCTTGCATTAGGGATCCCTTTCGTGATGTGGTGTTTGACCGAGTAATGGTTGTGTGCATCACACTCCTTGGGGACCTTCCAGCAGGATGCTTTGTGCATTGGGCTTCCCTTTTACATTGTTTCTGAATATGTCCTCTGCAACAACATTTAACAGTATTGCCTGCTGAGTGTCATGTGCCATTTGGTTTGCTAACTAATTACTCATGTTGTGTTGCGATTGACAGAAGAAGTGTTGAGTATGTGTGTTGTTGTCCAAGATAGGAATGATTCATTGGCGTAATAACAGTACATGTACTCGACAAATGCCTACAATTCTGCTATCAACCTAAACATACATGTTGCTAATGCACAAAGGTTAATAAAGGGTAGTGAATGTTACTAGGCTTAATTTCTTTTATAGAATCTATAGAATATGTGTGCTTATATTTGGTGTAGTATTTACTATTAGGGATTTGTATAAAAGCAGAATGTAGAGAACTTCGGGGCTTATATGAATGCAGAATGTGGAGAACTTCCATTTTCATTCTTGTCACACTGGAGATATAATCAATGATCTTCCAAATTGATTCTCGACTATGAAACGTTTCACTATATATAGCATCCTCTACTATTGTAATATTCTTTCTGGATTTGAATATTACCTGTTCCTATGATCCTAATAATTAGCTAAACACCACTCCAGCAGACTCTTGGTGTCCTAATCACTTTCTGAAACTTTGGCAATCACCTATCTAACTTACATTGATGACACTGTTCTGATAGGCCTTTTCTGTTGTCTTACTGCAGATATCAATTCCAAGAATTGTAGCCCTCCATTGACATGGGGCCTCACTCGATGTACCCCCTTTCTTAGTGATTGAAGGTAAAGGTATTGTGAGTGCATGCTCGAGACTTTACCCTGCGCAGGTCTTTAGTAGTATGACATAGTCGCCTTGAGTACCGAACCAAAGCAGGATGGAATTACAAGAGACCCCTGCTTCTGCTAAGAAATCAAAACATTTTCCTCTGACTCCTTTTAGAATTATAAGGGGTGTGATATGTTTATCAGTTCTTCTTTCAACTGCATTTGTTTTCTTGATCTATTTCGTGCCTGTGGCAGCTGTACTCTTGCGCCTCTTCAGCACACTTTATAGTAGGAAAGTTGTTGCGCTTCTGTTTGGTCTTTGGCTTGGATTGTGGCCATTCCTATTCGAAAAAGTAAATGAAACCACTGTGGTATTTTCTGGAGATAAAGTTCCTCCAAGAGAACGTGTACTGCTGATCGCCAACCACAGAACAGAGGTAGATTGGATGTACGTGTGGAATCTTGCATATAGGAAAGGGTGCTTGGGCCACATCAAGTATCTACTCAAGAAAAGTTTGATGAAATTGCCAGTCTTTGGCTGGGGATTCTATGTGTTAGAATTCATTCCACTGGAGAGAGACTGGGTAGTAGATGAACCGGTGATAAAAGAAACACTTTCAACTTTTACCAATCCTCAGGATCCATTGTGGCTAACTGTTTTCCCTGAAGGAACAGATTATAGGCAGGTTTATCTTACGCATTTCTTTTGTTATTTTGGTCCTTTGGGTCTTGTATTCTTGTCTGTTTCTCCCAATGGACCTCAACTATTGAATTTACGCTTGCATTACTTCTAATTTATCTCTGAAATTGTATTTTTTCTTTACATTCAGTGACGAGAAGTGCAAAGCAAGCCAAAAGTTTGCCAGTCAGAATGGATTACCTGTTCTAAAAAATGTGCTGCTACCTAAGACAAAAGGCTTTTATGCCTGCTTGGAAATATTACGGAGCTCTTTGGATGCAGGTTCTATCTTTTTACCATGTTCAATAGATACTTGTTTTTGCTCCACTTTTGTTGTCCCTGTCGCATTTGACGGGAAACCAGTTAACTTTAATGTGACAAAACTAGTTCTTTGACTTTATTGTTATAGTGCGTAAAGTGCATTAGTACTTTGTGAGAATTTCACACATAGATCAATTATTTTAGCATGGCAAAAATGTCTGTAACCTATCATATCACTACACTTTGCACACTAATAGAGAAGAACTTTTTTGCCGACAACAACTACGACTTAATCCTAGCAAGTTAGGGTCAGTTATATGAATCTAAGCTTAAGTGGAATAGTGAGGATTCATATAGCCGACCCCAGCTTGTTTAGGACTAAGGTTTTGGCAAAAAAGGTTGTAAATTTACTATTATAGTGATTTTATGACTTATTTATCTATTCTTGATCTTCATAAGGTATGTTTTATCTCCTTCTTAACAAACAATCATACTGTCCAATTTGCTGAATCTGCAGTTTATGATGTGACTATTGCATACAAAAATCAGTGCCCGACGTTTTTGGACAATGCATTTGGTGTTGATCCTTCCGAAGTACACATTCATGTTCGACGTGTTCCTCTTGATAAAATCCCAGAATCTGAAAAAGAGGTCTCTAAATGGTTGATGGAGACGTTCGACTTCAAAGATCGATTACTGTTTGATTTCATTGCTAATGGTCATTTCCCAAATGAAGGAACAGAAGAAGAACTATCAACAGCAAAATGCTTGGCTAATCTAGTATTAGTAATGGCTATTACTGGTATTTTTATATTCTTTACATTTTACTCATCTATATGGGGAAAAATTTATGTACTTTTCTCATGTATATACATTGCTTCTGCTGCTTACTTTAATTATAGACCATATCCTATTTTTGGTTCTGTAAATGAAAAACTGAATAAAATTCTTAGAATGAAAAGTCATTAGAAAGATACTCCTATCTGCACTTAGTATTAGTGATGTAAATAGTTATTTTCTTTTATTTTCATTTGTTGGATAATACAATGTTTTTGATCCTCCAAATTTTGCACGGAGGAATAATTGTTTTGTTGTTATAGCGTTCCTTCGGCTTTTCTGTCTGTACGTATTTTGGCGTCCCAACTAATTCAAATTCATGCCTCTTAAGCCTAATAATATTAGGATCCTTTAGTTAAGAGTAAAGAGATTTTATTCAATATGCATCGTTCGTGTAAGTGATTGAGCTTGTTCATCCTATACTCTATTTATTTTTACTTATTGAATTCTGAATAGATTATTTACACTTAGCAATTAAAAAGTCATGTTTTAATCGTCATGTGAGTTAGGTTGAAATGAAACATCAAACATCTTTTGCGTGTATTAGGTTTCTTTATTGTCTTCCCTTAATCCCTTTCATGTCTACACTCTTGTGGCTCGTTTGGTACGTAGGATAAGATAGCAATCTCATGGGATAAAATGTGTGGGATTTTCTTATCCCGTGTTTGGTTGATTTAGAGATAAATTCATGATTTCTAAAAAATGGGTGCACGAGAAAGAACGAAAAAAAGTGTATGAAGTGGGAATTCTCTAATCCTAAAGTGCACGTCCATTATATTTTGTCTTCTTATGACATTGATGTCCATAGATAATATTATACTACCAATTTTAGAAAATATATACATAAAATACCTAGTTTTATCAATTAATAGCTTAATTTAGTGATAAATTAAGCTATTAATTTGCCACAAAACAATGGGATAAGGAATAATAATCTCATGGAATATAATAAAATGGCATGGGATTAACTATCTTATATAGAAGATGCGGGTATTACTAATCTGATGACAAATTTTAACTCATGAAATATTTTTATTTATCCCAACTCACGTATCGACGAGCTCATAATATATATTTCACCCTAGTAAGAAGATATATAATAAGCTACCATAACTTTCGTCCGTAACTTAGAAAAATCATACCACCGTACCAATTACCATAGCCAATTAAATAAGTGTACATGGGTAAAGAGACGTTGCAAAAGTTAAATTGTGTAACTAATTTTTTCAGACAAATTTAGGGTGATTTCATATTTTATATAAGATATAAGCAAACATTATCTAAGCTAGACTTTTTCAACCATTATTAAGCGGAGCCAAAATGATTACTTTTTTTCCTCCAAAATACATAAACGGCTCAATTTTTTTGTTAATCAAAATGATCTCGCTCCCTCAAGAGTAAGTTGTCCCTTTTGTTTTTTTTTAAAAAAATTGATAGGCCATTTATGCATTTTAGATGAAAAAAAGTGATCCTTTTGACTTCGGAATCCTAAAAAAAAATCCTTTAGAAATGTATATATATGTGTTAGGTTCTTGTAGCTAGGAACCAATTAGTCAAAAGTTTTATGTGTGCTAGGTTCTTGTAGGAACCATTAATCAAAGGTTACATGTGATATGTTCTTGTAGAAAAATCAACAAAGGTTATGATGGAGTTATAAATATTGTTTCATATTTAATTAAAGATATCAAATTCATGTTCGAGTTCTAACTAGATATGAAGTCCTCTCTAGTAAGAATCGGAGCAATTACTATAATTAATCAGATTCTATCGAACTTCGAATTTTAAATAAAATCTTGTAGGAGATAAAAACAGGTATCATGGGTTAAGTGAGATGAGTCGATGCAAGTGATTTGGTAAAACGTTACACTAAATAAGTTATCCATCAACCTATGGATTAAAACTCAATTCCTCATGTTTGCATTTTTGTGGAAATACAGAATCTATTACTTACCTAACTAGATGGAAAAAGCTCATTTTTTTATGGTAATTAAATAATTTATACCAGAATGGATAGTAAATTTAGTGTATCCTAGTCCTAGACACTTAGGGCAGGTGAACTATAGCTTTGCCAACATCTCTTAATAGTATTTTGACTTTTTGCTAAATCCTACTCTATCAAATTGGTTTAAAATAAGTGTTATCATGCATTATTTTACGCTCATTAAGAAAAATAAAATAATATATAAAAAGTATAATCTATTAAGTTACTCAGAAAAAACCGATTAATGCTAGTGTAGCTGAAAAAATGGAAACATGTGCAATAAGACATATAATTTATACAATATTTTCTATTAAAAAAAAAACATGATTTAGATTTTCTCTAAAATTTTAAGAAATTATGTTAATATAACCATCGGAATATTAACTTCCTTTGATAACATTAATCTTGGATCTAATATTTACTTATGTATTATTCAAATTTATAGATAAAACATTGAGATAATTACATTCTAGAGCGCCCATAAAATTATTGATATAATTTAATCCATGTTTTCAATCTTTACCTAATGTGATTCAAAAAAAAAGAATTTAAGAGCCCTAGAAAGTTGTCATGGGACTACAACCCCCTCCTCACTTCAGAAAAATTCAAACTAAGAAGTCAAATCTTGATGAGACGAATTAAGGTAACAAGACTCGTCTCACAATTCCATCCACAACTCTAAAAATCGCCAATTACATATATGATTATTATAGCAAAATTTCGAAAGCAAATTGTCAATCATTTTAAAAATATTTTTCAATCAAAATCTATTTTTTACCCATGATTTCTCACCTATTAGGGATGATAGGTCATCACTAGAACCATCTTTTCAAAGTTATTAGAACATTTCATCTTGTCGTTTGAGAGAAATCAACTGGCAAAGTTTGATGAAATTTTGTTTTGTATAATAGTGTATAAAATTATATATTATTATATATAGCTATATTTTATATTGGTGTATCATATTATATATCAAGTTTTTATATTTATTTTTTTGTAAAAAAGAAATATGAAAGTTTGTATAGTCTTGTATACTAAATTGTGTTTTAGGCTAAAGACTTATATCGTAAATTTTGGGTTAAAGACTTATAAAGTAAGTTTTGGGCAAGATTTTTGCAATGCAAGTTAGATAATCGTATTTTTTTCAAATTTTTCCAATTTCGATTATCATCCTTGTGGCAGATGTAGAATGACATCGAGTTCATCTGAATCAAACACTTCTAACGCGGAGCATAAATTCTTATATTTTCTACTAATATTGTTACAAGTACTCCTAGTAGTTTTCATAGTTTCAAAAATGGGAAAATTAGCAATTAAGTCATAATATCTAACATAATTAGTTAAAATAACAACACTTTAAAATATTTATTTAAAATGGCAGAATGACAATATTTTTATAAAATAATATGTATTCAGATTTTAGTATTTAAAATTAATTTTATTTATGGAAAGAGTCCTATATTGGATCAAATTATATATTAATAACCCTTTAAAGAAAAAAAATTAAACCAATACACATTAACCTTTTTTCAACTCCATTCACGTTTCTTTCCCACTTTTCACGTTTCTTCCCCACCTTTCACGTTTCAAGTTTATCTTTCTTCAAGGTGCTAAATTGTAGTTCATCAAGAAATCTTCTTTATTGTTAAATGAAATCTATTTATTAATTCAAGCAGATTTCTCGATTGGCAAGGTAATTTCCATTATCCATTTTGATTTACTTTGATTTGATGTTTAAATCACCGATTCTATATATTACGGATTTCCAGTCGAATTTTTCAATTTTTATGTGATTTTGTTTAGTTATTCATCAAATAGTTATGATTTTCAATTTTTTCAATTTTTTTTGTGATTTTCTTTTAATTTTTCAGATTTTGGAGAATCTAGAACTTCATATGTATGTTTATTTTGTTTGATATTTAATACATTCTAATTTTTGATAATTTTGAAATTCAAATTATCAAAAAATTTGTTTTTATATTTGAGATTTAGTAGATTGTAGTAACTACATTAGCACACATACATCATACATTGGTTGATTGTAGTAACGACGAATACTTCATATGTATGTTTATTTTGTTTGATATTTAATACATTCTAATTTTTGATAATTTTGAAATTCAAATTATCAAAAAATTTGTTTTTATATTTGAGATTTAGTAGATTGTAGTAACTACATTAGCACACATACATCATACATTGTTTGATTTTTTTATACATTCATATTTAATAATTTCGAATTTTGCTTATAAGGTTACTAATGCACAAGTGAATACAAATTCAGATTCGGTTTTGATGGAAAATAATCGGAAAAAAGAACATAGTAGATGAAGAAGAAGAAGAAAGACAAAGTCAAATAAGAAGGTTACAAAATTGTATTCATACCACAATTGTATTCATATTAATTTTTGTTTGTCAATTGTTTTTCTTTTACTCATCATTTGTATTTTTATTTTAAAATATTGTATTTCTATTTTAGTTTGTAGTAATTTAAATAGGTATATAATGTATTCGTCACAATTCTATATATTATGATTGAATACATAATTTATAGAATTGTGACGAATTCATTATAAGAAGGGAAATGGAAACTTATTGGTATTCATTTTTTCGTTTGAAATACAAAATCATATTGAAATACAACCTGATATTTGAAATACAAACTTAGTAAGACATATTTTGTATTTTATTTGGCTAAAGCAATATCATTTTATGAATACATAATATATAAAATTGTGCGACATACATCACAAGAAGGGGAATACAAAATTATTGGTATTCATTTTGCGTTTGATATACAAAATGATATTGAAATACAACCTGATATTTCAAATAAAAACTATGCTAGAAAATACTTTTTGCAAATTTAAAGTGAAATAATAATATAACAAAATTGGATATTGAAATATAAATACAATTTATTTTGAATAAACTTATTCTATGTATATATATGTATTCATCGCAACTGTATTTTTCAATATCATTTCGATCTACAACTAATTTGTACTTATATTTTGGTATATACTACACAACTGCCTTTATTTTTGTACTTGAACTAGAATGCCAAAGAGTTGTATTCATCATAAATCAATACCAACATTTTTTGTATTTTAAATTAGTTATACATATCATTAGGTATTCGAATACATTTCGGATGAACACATATTCAAAGAAGTTCAAACATTTAAATATCCAAAACAGAGGGCATTAGAAATTTTTCAACACTTCCACTCATATAAGATATAAAATACAAACTACTGTTTTCAAAAAAAAAATTGAAATTCTTAAGAACAAAGAAAAAAACGCTAGAAAGAAAAATGGCAACATATGCTCTTTCAAAAACGTAACTGATGTTAAATTTTAAAAAAAAATTACCTTTTTTGAAATTTTTTGTTCCATGATTTTCGCTATTCAGTTATTAATTATTTGTGTTCTTTCAAATTAATCAAAATAAAATAAATATATAACTCAATCCTTAACAAATTAAAATATTGACATTTTAAATAAATAGTGAAACTATTGCTAAGGAGTCCCATTAAAAGCTAAAATATTGCTATTTTGAAAATTTTCCCTTTAAAAATGCAATGAATTCAATAACGAAAAAATTTAAAATTAAACATATAAAATTTAAATTTAAAATCTATCAACTTTGATTATCTAACGCAACGATGACTTACAAAATTTTAGATCACGACCTAATGGTTGCTCATAAAATCCTCTCATTTGCATAAAAGGGATCTTAGTCCACAGTTTTAAAGATCTATATACTAATTATCTTGAAAAGGGGACAAAGAATATCTTATTAAATTATTTTATCATACCTTTTATATATGGATGGTAATTTTACTATTTCATTATGAATATTGGGATAAGATAATTCTGAAATTAACTAATACCTCAATTTTTTATCAAAACGACCCCTTTAGGTTTAGAAATTAAGAATATGTCGATATCACGTGCTTCATGGATGCTCAGCACGTGACCCGTTTAGCAGTTTTCCTTATTTTTTCCTTTCATTTTTAGTTAAACGGTTTTTCAAAAATGGTGTCAAATGAGAGGGTTAGATTAAATCTACAAATGTTAAAATAGATTAACAAATGGACAGATCATTAATCCACTTTTAAATGTTACTTGAACTGAAATGGACTAAAAATCAGTTATAATTCAATCCGTCCAATACTAAGTTCTAAATTCATTTTTATTTTATTTTTTATAATTTGTGTGATTATCTAATGTTTTTTTTTTAAAAACGCATAGAATATTACTATATATAACAAGTAAACCAAAAATAAAAACATATTTCAAAAATATTTGAACAAATATTTTTGGTGGTGCATATATCAAGCCGATATTAAAACATGTTTGATTAAAAGTCAAAATAAGTTGAGTTATCCAAACCTAAACAAATTAGACGGATCATAATTTTATGGATTGATCGTACCGCCCTATCGCTAAATCAATTACTCGATGAAAATTAATCAGAGAATCATTCTGTTTTTCATTTTTCCTTCCTTAACACTTACTAATAAATATAATTACACTAACTTTTTTTTCATATTCCTTTTAACCTACCTACCTAAATATAAACTGATAAAAGGATCAAAGGGAGTGTCATATATATATATTTGGAAAATAAATCTGAGGAAAAAATAATTAACAGCGTAATCTTTGCGTGTTAGCAGTTAATGCAATTTACCCACAATAAATTAATTTCCTACGTGGGTGGGTGGGGGTCAGGGGTGGGGTTATGGGAAATAATGGGCTATAAATAGACAAATTACTCAATGCTTAATACTCCAAAATATAACTTTCATTTGCTTAATTCTCTGTTTATTCTGCTAATTACAATGGCCGCCATTCATAATCACTCTTATTTTCTCCTTGCCTTCTTTATGTTCGGTAAGTTTTTATCTCTTTCGTAGTTACAGCGATATAAGGTTCATCTGAATCAGTATTTTTAACGTGATTTTTGGTATTTAAATTTATGTGGACGCATAGTTTAATGATTTAATGATAGAAATCTCGAAGATTGAATTAGTAGAGCTTAAATCATGAATACGCGCAGAAAATATAGAGCATGTATGTAATAGTTTTACTTACCATTTTGCAGAGGCGATTGCTGTTTCAGCAACACAATTTACACTTCAAAACAATTGCGGCTACACAGTTTGGCCCGGTACACTTTCCGGCAACGGAGTTCCTATCTCCGGCGATTCTGGATTTGCATTAACTCCCGGCGCTACTATCCAACTCTCCGCTCCTGGAGGATTTTCCGGCCGGTTCTGGGGAAGAACCGGTTGCAATTTTGACAGCACCGGAGCTGGTAAATGTATAACCGGCGATTGCGGTGCATTGAAATGCCCTAGCGGAGCCGGCGGCGTACCTCCGGTGAGTTTAGTTGAATTCACAATCGCGAAAACCAAAGATGAGAAGGATTTTTACGATGTTAGCCTTGTTGATGGCTACAATGTCGGTGTCGGAGTACGATCTTCCGGCGGATCTGGTGATTGTCAATACGCCGGCTGCGTCGCCGATCTAAATGCGAACTGTCCAACGGAATTGCAAGTGATAGATAACGGTGCAGTTGTGGCGTGTAAAAGCGCGTGTGCACAATTCAACACGCCGGAGTATTGTTGCACCGGTGTTCATTCGACGCCGGCGACTTGCTCGCCGACGGACTACTCAAGGATTTTTAAGAGTGCGTGCCCTAGTGCTTATAGCTATGCATATGATGATGCTTCAAGTACCTGCACTTGTGCTGGTGCTGATTATCTTATCACATTTTGTCCAACCGCTTCATAATTTTAATTATTACTATTTTTTATTATTATTGTTACAACATATGGGAATACTATTTTTTGTAATCTCCAATTGATTTAGAATAATATTTTTATCATCCTATTGTCTATGATATTATCATTTTATAGTTTTGATTTTATAACGTACGATAAATTTGTAATCATAATTTATTTTACTTCCATTTAAATACAATGGAGGATTATGGTAAGTTGGTAATTATGATAATTGTGTTACTGTAATTGGGTACTTACCAAAAGTAAGTATGCACTAGTATGACTATCAAGTAGTTCTACTTAAAACCGTTTAGATATATGAAAAGAAATTACTTAAACATTATGTTTACCCATTTTATTGATATTTGTCTTGTTGAATATGATTCAATCGTGACTATAAATAGAAGTTGTAATTATGGCAAGATCATATCTTCTTTCATAATTCCTACTCTAATCAAAAGACTAAAAACCGTGCTAAAAATAGAATGTCCAATAACATCGAAAATAATGCCTTTTTAGTACACCCCTTGTGTTAACTGTTAAGTTCTTTTTTTTATTATTTCTCACTCAATATCTAATACACACCGTTGAATCCTCGCTAATTTGATTTGTGCATCTGAATTGTTGATTAAAGATGAAGATATAAATATTTTACTTACTCTCCCTACTATATTATAAAAACAAATAAAGTCTATCATTTTATAATTTCATAATTTTGAGGTGAAAAGATTCTTTCTTGGGTCGGTGTGAATATTGGAAAAATTAGGTGTATCTATCAATACATTGGAGTTCAAAATTGTCTATTTTTGAAATGGAGAAAGAGTCAAATCATTGTTTAATTAAATGACAAATTTAATTGAACAGTCACTACAAAATAAAGACGGTAAGTCAGTGGGATTTGTTCATTTTAATCAGATTGCAACTGAAGTTTAATATTTAAAATAGTTACTTATGTTTTAATCATAGATTAATCAAAGACACTGACATTTCTAATGATTTAAATAATATTCACACCTCATCGACTGTTAAAATGTTCCTTTTGTCATAACAAGTGTGGATTAATTTAAATAAATGATTAAATGTTTCAATCCATTGTAGAACAAACCTATGTAAACATAATAATACCGCAAACATGAGTGATTTCACAGCTCGAATCCAAAATGAGATGTTATAAATAGAAGAAAAAAACCTCAAAGTTACAAAAATATCTATAAAAAATACTATAATCGACTAAATACGAGGAGATTGAAAATTGAACTCACACTTACTACGCAAAAAATTATCAAATCTAAAAGAAAAGTAAAACACAAAATACAATTAATGGCTTCAAGGCCTTGGGCCAATTCTTTTAACTCTTATCCTTTTTTTTCTTTGATTACATTTCCTCTACATCAAGACTTTCATCTTTGAAAGCCAAAATCTCAAATTAGTTTCCCATCCCAAATCTTTTACCAAATGAACACTTGGGATGGGAGAAAAAAAAACTAAATTATGAGCGCTTCGCGCACACATTTTCCTCCTACCCCAAAGAGAAAAAAGCTTACAACACATTACAAGTAGGCCAATGAAAAAGAAAAAAGGACCTAAAACTACCTACAATGTACACCAAATTCATTTTCTATAGTTGGCTCCTCTAAAACCAAGCGTCCAATTCGCCCCAACCTGTGCAAAGACCTTGACCCTCGTGTTCATTACTAAATAGTGTTTGGTCCGAGCAATCAAGTGATGCTCCACATGCCACGTTATATGATTGGCAAGCTGAATGACACACTCGTAGCCGGTTGTCCCCATCCTTGTCACATTTTTGGATTGAGATCTGGTTTTAAGCAGTTTGACAGGAATAATGAATAAATCGTACGCACAAACAAATGCATGGTAGATTTCTTTGAGCTCAGTGTGAAAAAAACATAAGAGTTGCTTTGGATGAAGAAACTTACCCAGCAGGCTAGTCGCTTAGCAGCTCCATCACAATCCCGACCCCTAAAAATGTTCAAAATCTTTCGAGGACCAGCTGGGAATAATCGGTTGTAGTTGGGCATCACCACTACTTCTTCCAGCTGCTGCAAGATACTTAACTCACTAGGTGCACAGTGTTGTCCTGATACATCATTTTGAAGCACATCTTTGCAAACAGAGAGACTAGGAAGAAGCGTGGAGCTATTCTGGCACGTGTAACCAGCATAGTCAGAACAACGGAACTCACAGACTCCATTGTCACAGACCCCACCGTGAAGGCTGCACTGCTCATCGCAAACAGCTGTGTATCACCAATGAGAACGTTAGCTATCAACCCTAACACATCCTTTGACTGACGTATCATTTAGCAGACAAAGAAAGGCATTCACAATTACAAGGTATAACGAAAAGTAGATGTTGTCAGAATGTTATCTTATGGGATCTGATCAAATTTGAAGTTACAAAATCGTCAACCTAATGGTTTCTTCAAGTACCATTACTTCCAAGCTCAATCACAATTTTATTTTGTTTTACGAAAGAGGGGAGGCACCCAAAAGATTTTGAGCTGGTTCAAAGAACTAAGGTAGCGTTGGGCCAAACAGGGGCAAAGTTGACTACTCCTTTTACAGCATAACTAACATGTGCAAGGAAGGAATCAATTAAACCATGTTACCTGTGGAACAATCAACGCCAGTATACCCGTTATCACATTCACAAACACCATTCCCAAGACACTTTCCACGGCCACCACAATTGCCAGGACAGGAGCCTGAAATAGAAAGCAGAAGTGTGATTACACCAAATAAACCAACTTCCCTCAAAAGATTCCACTATCACAGAGAAAGTACGGGAGCTCACGTTTGCTACAATCATGACCACCAAACCCAATAAAGCATCGACATTTTCCACCTAAGCAATCTCCGTTGAAATTGCATGAATTGGGACATTGACTAGACAACGAAACTGGATTCACATCACATAGTTCATGGTAAGCTGGGCAGACGAGCTCACCTACAATTGAGGAAAAAATTAAGTAAACAGAAAGAGGAGATTCATAAATCAACAAAGAGATACTTTAGTGATTGAAGAGAAGTAGCATGATTAATATTTACCATTAAAGCCAGGAAACTGGATAGGTCCACCAGCTTTTGGACAAACTCTCCAAATGCCATCTACTGCTACCTGTGGGAATTTAATCATATATAATAAGCTAAATGTAAGATATCCTTCCCGAGATTCGTTCTTTTTTCCAAAATATAATCTGAGCGGGAAGAAATGAACTAGGACAGCTACCTCAGATCTAGCAATCAGATAGAGGCATCCGGAGATTTCATTGCTAACACTTAAAACTCAGAAGATATTAACATGACACTCACCTCTGTAACATTTTTTTATGACCCAGCGCCCAATTTAGTTCATCATATATTATTGACCTCTTTCCTTAAGAGATAATTACAATATTCACATATTCAGATTGGTTCAGCAATACTATTCCATCTTATTTTAGTTTTGATTTTGATAGGATAAATATGCTATTTCCGTATTTTCCAACTGCTTGTTTTATTGTGTTCAAACAAAAAAAAAGGTATAATTACATATAGTATTCCTCTTTTTACCTCAGCATTATTTGAACTATGGCATTATCATGGATGGTTAGATAGCCTTTTAATATTAGAAGGGTAATATTCACAAGTTTTAACAGTTATGCTTCACAAGAATGTAGATATTTCTTGTAGGTACTGAAGTTTATTCCATAGTATGGCTCGATAGAAATAGAATTATCTAGTATATTTTGGTCTAGACATATCGCAAATATTTTAATAACAATTCTAGGCAGATTGCAAATATTACAAACTTCATGCCTTTAGATCTCCAAAATGCAAATTCGAAAATTGAGAATGCAAAGGAATGGAAGAGAAAGATATATCCAACTATTATCCTCTCATGGTTAAACGTAGCTCTTGAGCTTTGAACCATTCAATCACATCTCATTTATCATTAATGAGCTAATATCTCTTTCTCAAAAAAGAACTAATGAGCTAACATACATTATTTTGGATAGGCAACTAAATCAAAACAAAAGATGAACAACAAATACAGCAGACAAGTAATTACCGAAGTCATACCTCTAACGAATTGTTTGAGCACCTATGCTGATAACAACCATTGCCTTGGGCCATTGAGCCACGTACAAATCCAGAACGCACTAAAGAAGAAGACATGCACCTGTATGGATTAAAACAAAAAACTGGTGAGCTAATATCCGATTAGATTTAAATCTCCAAAGGCTACAGGCGAACGCCTCACCTTGAACTACTTCCCCTCACTTCACCTAACATCCTATCAGGTGCACGAGCACCATTCGTGTCCGTACACGATCCATCAGAGTAAGCAACAAAATAAGTGCAATAATCTGCCAATGATGACTGACCACCTGCAACAGCCATCCACCAGAAGTTACAACAGAAAGCCAGTTCAAGAAACTTACTAAACCAGTAATGTTGGTTTCAAAATAGTAATTGGCATGCATCCTCCCAACAATACTATTAGTCGACTTGTTTCTCAGAAGTTCAAAGTCGACAAAAAGATTGTGTATCCAAGACAAAATCAGTTTTCAATGACAACGAAATATCAAAAACAAAAGAAGTAAAGAAATACCTTTGTTAGCCTGTGGAAAATAACGAGCCCATTGAGGGAGATCCCCACTATAATTCATAATTGGACAATAACCTTCTGCCTCCCTGTTAAATGTACATCCAGATAACTGGGTAGTGTTACAATGATAGGCTCCCTTCCAGTGATTGCAGGGAAAGGTAACGAAATCTGGTCCTTGGTTGCGTCCCCAATCAAGACGGTCAGCCATGCTATAATTAGCTCGGTACCATCCACTGTCCTCAAGTAAAGCAAGAGTCATTTTTGAAACCACTGATCTTGTATCTACCGACCCAGTCATGATCTCATTCATCAATAGCCTTTTCTCCCAATGAGAACCTGCAGCACTTTGTTATTTAAACAATCGATCCATAATTCAAAAAGATATTCATTTAGCAGGATACACTCTATAATGTTGACATCT